AACAACAAAATCTGCAAACACAATAAAACACTTTTTGTGTGAAAAACATAATTCCATATTAAGTTTATTTTCTTATTCTTGTTTATAATAGAAGAATAATACTTTTAGGGAGAAGTAGTACCTTTTATCTCCTATCCTGATATTCCAGGCAGGAGAGACTCTTTCCAGAGCACAAGTCAGTTTCAGATCTGGGTGTGAAGGATGAAACTGCGGGCAGAGAACAAAACAACTGCTCTGAGTTTAACTTTGTTATGGACACTGGGTGGAAACCTTTGGAGAAGGGGAGACATAAATAAAGGATGGGAAAGTCATTTAGTTCCCATGAGGTAGAGTGCCTACGCTAACACCAAACTAGACCACCATCTGTTTGCCAGCCCCAGGCCCAACAGGCTCCACATGGTCTGTGTCTGTATCACATTAATTCCTTCACCCTCACAAAGAGGGTGGCAACACCCAAAGTGCTTGTTTGGAATATTGCCAGGCCAGGCTATCTCCCTGTGAGAGTGTCACTTTGCTGGGCACTGGATGTGCTCCAGGGAATGAACCACAGCTTGACAGTGCTGGTGGCAGCAGGACAGTGCCCAGCCTCAGCTGCTGCTTCATTCACTACAGGCAATTATCACCTGCAGAACAGTATTCCTTAGCACCAAAACATTTATTTTAAGAAGTCATAATAGAAGTAGCCTATTGAACTTCAGCCTGACAGTCCAGAATGTCATAGCACTGGGAAAAAGAAACTAGAGTTTGTAATTTAGAAAAATGCAGTCTTATGATGTGAGATCCGTGCATGGCCCCTTATGTTTTCTAGTACACCAGACACAACAGTCTCTTTTCAATCTTGTCACATGCTATTTTAGTGTAACAGCAACAGCTTGTGAAGCTTCTTTGATGTGTAACTTGTTACTAGACATGATCTCTGAAAAATTAGACTAACCTGTTCTCACTGCAGTAGACATGGCCATCTGCCTCTCCCACACATCCACTGTATCCTCTCACAGCCTTGTTCACTCTTCTAATTGTTCTGCATAAACAGAGTAGGATATAATATAACATTTTAAAATGTCATGTTTACATGACAAAGAGTCAATTTTTGAAGATGCTTTCTCCCTTCAGAGCTGTCATTTCCTATTTCCTTCCTAAATGTGTGTCCTATATGCTAAATAATAACTTATTAACCCTTTGTAATTTCTGCTCATTGTTCTCCTGAATGACAATGTCTGCCTGAACGTAATACAGCCTGCCTTTCAAGATACCTTTCAGATATAAATCAGTGGCACATGAGACAAATGTGTTATCCCAATTTGCTGGCTGTACTTTCCCCAGACACTGTGAGCTGCTGGAGTCGTGTTATTGTTTGTTTTGTTTCATACAGGTATTGTGTAGAACTTGAAAGAAAAACCTGTTTGTGATCAACAGGGATTTGATCCATTGTTACAGGACCTCTTTCTGCTGTGGAGCTGGTAGTAGAGTTGCATAATTACATTCTGCAATTAAAATAAGCCCAAGGTATGCCCATCACAGATACAGCTCATCTCAAAAGTCGTACTTGTTGGATGGGCAACACTTATTTTAGACATCACCTGTTTCCTGTGCTTTATTTCATTAGAGGCTATGAGTTCAATTAAGATTTTGGGTGAAAGTCTATTACTACAATCTTATTTTCATTATTCCATATTTGTATATATCCACGGAATGGGATATAAGTGGTTGTCTTTGCTGCAGGTGGCTTTTGCTGCCTCGAGGTCACTCTGTTCCCAGGATCCACAGTGCCTCGTGTCCCCAGAGCTGCTCTGAGGGCAGCCCCCACCAGTGTATGGGGTTATCCAGCCCCATGTAGACAGTGTGAGGGAGGTACAAATGAAAACATTCAGAAATCTACTACCTGGGACTCACAAAAGTCAGCAAGATCTGACTGGAGAGGGAGCCCTCTGTCTTTAGGACTAATGGTAGAGCATTTACTTAAGAAATGAGAGGCATTAATTGGGCTTTAGTCTAGCTCTATGGAGTTTAGCCTTTCTGTATACCCTGATCCTCAGGAGACTGAGTTTTCTTTCCATTACCTTCCTTGAGGAAAACCAGCAGATCAAGTAATTCCAGTCATCCTCTTGAGGCTGGGTTCAAGCACAAGTGGCTGACATCACCAGAAGAGCCAAGCAGCACCCATGGAGTACAGGAACCAACTGTGCTGATTGTGGTGACCAAAGAACAAAGTGGCTTCTGGGCTCTGCCCCTACTCCCAAAATGTGTGGGGGTTTTCTCCTTTTTTCTTTGTTTGTTCATTTTGTTTAATGCTGTCCAGTGTAAAATACATAAATAATCCTTGTAACGGGGACAAGGATTCTATGAATCCCTACCCATTTAAGCACTGTAACTACTGCTAGACTACTGGCACACTGCTCTTCCTTCAGGAAAAAAAAGATTGCATTTTTCAGGCTCTCATTCCCCTACAGATGAAAAAGGATGTTGTTACATTGTCTGTCCATTGCCAAGGACAGCAAGACAAAAGGTTGTATTCAAGTAGTTGTTGAAAAATTTAAATTGCGGTATAATTATCTTGCTCAACATTTAATTAAAGTAGCAACAAAAATTCATTACAAATTAATCCCCACAGCAGCATGCATCCAAGAATTACAAAATGCTTCTTTGGAACAAAAATTGTTCTACATTTATCAGTAGTACATTTCTCTGAACAATTTCATACTATTTATAATAAACAAATAAATAAACAAGGTGAAGTGACAGAATGAAACCAGAATTACTCTGGATAGGTGAAGAAAAAATTCCCTCCAAACCAGTTGCTCTTACATAGTTTGTTAGAATTCAAATTTCCAAGATTCAGCCCCCAAATTAATGAATTCAGGAGTCCAAATCACTTTGAGTGAGCCAATTCACTTACATTCTCTGTATCACCATATCCCAGTAGTCATGAAAGAATCATGAGAAAACAAACTGTTACCAAAAAGAACAAAAGAACAAAGAAACAATTCTGTCTGAAGAAGATATAAAATGTGGAAAGATCATTTTCAAATTTCACTGCAATTTGTAGCAAAAGAAATAACTTTTGCAACAAAAGAAGCACACATACCAAAGAAATGAATTCACTATTGAAAGAACAGTGAATTCATTTCAATCTTTTCACATTCTTGAAATAATGTTTTTTTTCCTTGGTGACAGTGCTCAGATCTGGGGGGTATGCGAGAGATATATTTATTTATTTATTTATTTATTTATTTATTTATTTATTTATTTATTGTAGAATAACTTTTTAAAAAACAAAAAAAATTGCCAACTTCCAAAGTTACTGATCCAAGCCTTCACTGTGTGGCTGGGGAGGTACTGCTGCAGCTCCTTCAGTCCATTTTGCCAGGTAACTGTTTTTGGAGTGATGCTCATGAGATCTTTATCATCTGACTTGTGCCATCCATTTCCACAGAAGCATCACAAACCCTTCCACAGCACATAGGAGCTTCTTTGATATATCCTTTGCTCTGAACTCAGGGAGGTCATCTGATAATTTGAACTGAAGTGGGTTACAAATACACCTGACTTTTCTCAGCTGCACCATTTACCTTCACTGAAGGTTTTAAAATCTCAGAATTTCAGAAAGGATGCAGCATAGCTCCCCAAGCCAGATGTGACAGCAGCACCTCTTCTATTACATTCTGAATAAATTTCTAAATAAAAGTCCAATAAGAATGCAATCCCTTACAGGAAAGATGTTAAATAAGGATATAGGCATGGATTTCAATATTGCTACCAATCAGACAATTCTTCCAGACTAAATGTTGCAAAGGATTTTGCTATCCAAAAATAAATACACAAAGATAGTTATATTCCTGCAGTCAGTAGTTGACATCCAGCCACTTTCACTTCTAGCAAAAAAAAAAATGGATATAATTATCAATAAATTTAAAACCATGTAATTAAAAAAATACATTCTCACATATATAATTTACAACATCTACGTACAAGAAAAAAGGTTGATTGCTGTTCTAAACAGAAGGGCAAACACAGAAACAGTCACATCAGCAGGATATCTGACAAAGTTTTGTAGTGTGAGCTGTATATCAGTTTAAAATTAGAATGGATTTCACAACTAACATCTATAAAGATACAGTCACATCACATTATCAGTTAAAATCACACCTTAGCTTAAATATACAATTATAAATATTGTAGTTTTGCACACAATTTTGCAATCATAATAATTTCTGTTAGCACAAATAAATATCAGAAAGAAATATTTTCATTTTTGTTATTCCCAGTGATGGTGGATACAAAGTCACCTACATAGATTTTAGCCCTTCATGAAGCATCACAAAGAATATGGGTTTAAATACCTCACTTGAGCGTCTGTTGGAGCAGAGACTGAGAAAGCAGACGGTTGCTTTTTGAGCAAAAAGGCAAATAAAGGAGAGAATTCACTTCTGGTACTTTTGGTCTATAAAAGCTGTAATTCAGTCTGTGCTCTGAAAGCCTTGAGATAAAAGTGTAAGTTTTACTGTTATTGTACAAGCACTGAGCTCAGGTTTTACCCATCCAGTCCTACTCCTCACCAGGCAGCCAGGTTTCCATGGAATGCCCTCTGCCTGCTGCTAGACCTGCACATCTGACTTGTGCACATCTTGCTTTTTAAGTAAGAAAAGCAACTAGTTCAAGCATCTCTTGAGAAATTCTGGAAAGTAGGGCCTCCTCTGGAAGCACTGAGCAGATGCCTGGCTGAAAACAGGATGTGAAGGGCAGAGGGATTTCCAGACACCAGCTCCACCAGTGGCCGCCCCCGTAGCCTCTAACCCAGCTCAGACTGGGAATCAGCTCCCAGAGCAGTCCTGGCTTCATCACAGGAGTTTGCAAAGTCAGACACAGGAACTTGCCTTTACTTTGAATGTCTCTTGCCTACACAGGCATAAATTCCTGTGTAAGGTTCATAGATAATTTAATTTTTCTATGACAGGTGCTTTGGAGGAAATGTTGAACAGGTTGTGGTATCTCTCCTTGGCTTTCCCTTATCATGGCAACCTGTAGCTTTAAGCAAGTGTAAGCAGGAAGATGCTATAGAACTCTGTATTTTCACATCAAGCTCTACAAAGGAAGGGTTTGCCCAAAGTGTGTGTCACAGCTATAGAGTTGTATTTATGAGATTAATTGCTAGGTGCTAATTTGAGAATGCATCAGTATCCTTCTCTCTGACTCTTGAGCCCTAGCCAGCTTTGCTTACTTGTCTGACACATGACTTACTCTGTCATTTTAGTTCTTTCTTATTATTTTAGAAGCAGTCTGGGCATTGCCCTTCCAGTCCTGTGGGGGTTCAGACATCTCCACAGAAATAGACACCACTGCATGTGCCTGCCTGGTGGCCTGTGCCGCTCAGAGAGACAACCTGGCAAGCTGGGAAATGCAGAGGATTTGGGAAAGACTGCAACATGGCCTGCATGAGTCCTGCTTCTGGATCTGCTCCAGACAAAGCTCTGCCAGCTTCTGGAATTTGGTCACACCTACTCTGCTGGTTAAAACCTCCTTGCTGTTTGTCCCTTCCAAGCCCTGCCATCACTCTGTCAAGCTGGAGAGTGCCTGTGGAGCTCCGCAAAGGTGAAACAGGAGAAAGCAAGGACGCAGACAGAGCAGGACACAGACTGCAAAATCACAGAATCACAGACTGAGAAAGGTTGGAAGGGACCACAGTGTGTCATCTGGTCCAGCCTCCCTGCTCAAGCAGGGTCATCCCAGGGCACATGGCACAGGACTGAGTGCAGATGGTTCTTGAATATGTCCAGTGAAGGAGACTCCACAACCTCTCTGAGCAATGTTTGCTTCCTCCTTGCCATGTAGAGAATGCCCAACAGAGTCCTTTGGATGCAGCAGACATAGGTTCATGGTTTTAACGCTTAAATCTGAGAGGCCTATCAGGGTATTTTTAGTTCCCTTTAAGTTTGCAAATATAGTTGAATATTAGTGGAAGTAGCTTGAATTAGGGAAGTGGCAGTGCAGGCAAAATGATACTGGATAGGAAAGCCTTACGATGCTGTAGAGGCTGCCTCTTTCACCCACACTGGGCAGGTTTGTGACTCTTGGGGATGGGGCTGTGCAGGGCTGGGAGCTGGACTCGATCATCCTTCTGGATCCCTCCCAAATCAGCCTATTCTGTGATTCTGTGAATCAGCTTTTTTACAGGTTTTTGAATGTCATGTACAAATGTCATGTGTAAAATGTTCATGACACACAGGAACACACGGGCACTTTACTGGGCTTCTGCAGCACAGAAGTGAGAAAATGAACTTCTAGCAAGAACAACAGCAAGTCTAGAGCAAAGCCAAAGCAAGACATGATATTTTGTCTGTAGCTACATCAGGGAGACTGGCCCCAGGCTGCTCATCACAGGCCTGTGTGGGAAGGGCAGGGAAGGGGCTATGCTGGCAAGTAAAAAGCCAGGATGACTTTTCCTCTGACAACACTTTATGTCCTGAAGTGTTCTAATAGATAAATTTTAAAAACATTAAACATTTGAAAAGTGTTACTTTTCTCTGAATTTTCCTCTTTTCCCCAGATATTATCAATATTAAAGCTCTAAACCCCTTCTAGTGCTCGTAGACAAAATTGGTATTGAACCAAGATAAAAGGAGCTGATAAAAGCCTGTTACATACTCTTCAATATCTGTCAATTTCCAACAGGATTCAGTAATAGCTGAGACTTACATTTAAAGTGGTACATCTATAAACCTAATTGCTGAAAAAGATAAGCTATTTTAAATGCTTCTTACTGACTTTTTGTTTGTTTCCAGCTGCACATTCATTGAATAGTCTTCATGTTTCACACTGCCCAAGGTAAAAATAAACCAAAGAAAAGAAAGATTTTGTGCTCTTTGCCATCAGACACCTGTTTATTGAAGCGTGCTGTGATGGCTGCAATGAGATTTGCACTGATGTGGGCTGAGGGAGTCACTGGCAGGTAATTACTGCTATCGGCAGTAATTTGGGTTGCTGTTGGAAGGTCCCCTGGGTACTGCCCAGTGCAGGCACACATTAGAGCAGCTCCTCTCCTCACCTCTCATCTTCACAGGGAGTATCATCCCCTGCCCCACTCTGTGTCCATGGACATGTCCTGGCAAGCCTTGCTCATTCTGAGATAACACACCACTCTTCAGCCAGGTAATGGGAAGAAGGATTTAGGTATTCTCCTGGAGCCAATTCACCTGGCTAAATTTAGGTTGTATTGAGTACTTCATCCAGTTAGCCTCAATAATTCACTCTTTTCACTGCCCAAGATGCTGCATTTTCCTGTAGGGCACCCACAGGTATGAAAAGATTTATGGTAGCTTCTGCAATTCTGTGAGTGGAAATGTCCTTACAATTCATACAGTGGGTGGGAACAGAGCATCCAAACCTCTTACAAGGCTGCACACTCAGAACGAGGTGGGCTTCAGGCCTGAAAGAGAGGAGAGAAGCAAACTGAGAAAGAATATTTTACACTCTCATATAATCTGCAAAAACAAATGAAAACTAAGCATCTTTGTAGATCGTCTATATTTTTAAGATCTAAATGCATGGGTTCACAAACAGCATTTAAGGAGTATTGTGTAAAAAAAGCATCATGAAAACAGTAATGTGCATCATCAAGAGAAGTGGGTTAAGGAGATGTGCTACTCACTACAGAATGAAAGTGCTGGTGTGTGGGAGAGCCTCTCCTTAGCACCAACTGTGTGGGTAACCCCCAGATGGAATCAAGGGGGAAGGCACAAGAAAATGCCCCATGGCCCTCCCTGCAGCCAGCCAGAGCATGTCCAGAGGAATCACTGAGCTCAGACACCAACATCACCCCCTGCCAGAGGTGCACCTGAGGAACCACGCCTGAGAACCACTTTCTGATGCTCCACTAGAGCCCACTGTTCCTCAGAAAGAAGGCTTGACCTGATTGCTTCTCCCCATCCTTCTGCATGCCTCAGATCCTCCAAGTCCCCCCATGCTTGGCACAAGGCACTTTGAAAACACAGCTTTCCAGAGCTGGGCAGTGTCCCTCCCTGCCATGCCCTGTCTGGTGCATGGCCTGTCACTGCCAGCCTCTCCCAGGGCTGCCCTGGCTGAAAGCCACCCCAGCACAGCCCCATGCCCAGCAATGCGCCCTGGTTCTGGAGGACCCACAGCAGTCACTGAAATGTGTTAACTATTAACTAACCTTGGATGACAAACAGGTATCACCAATGGACAGTTTTGCAGAGGACAGGTAGGTATTGGTAATATCTTCTAGCTCAGTGCTGAAATGATCAGAATCCTTGATGACATTATAATTTAGGGCCGTGCTGTAACTGGCAGGTTTCTTCTCCTGCTTCTGCTGGTAGTTGCACAGTTTCCTGAAGGCTGCTCTGAATTTCTGGGACATGAGATTGTAAATGACAGGATTGATGGCACTATTTAAATAAATGCAGATTCTGCAAAATAGCAGGAACCAGTTTTCTTGGAAGGGTCTGGAAAGAAAGGAATTGACGACAACCAGGGTGCGGTAGGGCATCCACAGGAATGCAAACAGGATCACAACCACGGCCAGCATCTTGGTGACCTGAGGGAACACAGAGAGAGACAGAGGAGGGGCAGAAGGTCAGTACTCCCCCTGGCATGAACACATGCGTTCTTACACCTCTAGGGCCAAACCAAACCCCTGGACAGATCCTTCAGTGGGAATTTCTGATGGATATTTGATTCAGAAAGGTTTTATATAGTAGGAAGCACAAAAACCTTGGATTGAAATTTTTCCTAGTTTTTGTTAAATTACTCTTTCCAGATAATATCCCAGTAAGCTAACTGTTGTAGACCTCAGACATTTCCACTTCTTATTCTGGAAGAGGGTGTTGATTCAAATGGGAAAAAAAGGACAAAGAGTATTTTTTTTTCCAAACACATTACATCTCTATCTTTAGACTAGTATAGCCTGTAGAGTAATTAAACATAAAGCCTTTTAGGTTATCTGGTTTAACAGTCCACCTAAAACAATTTCCCAAAGCCAAAAATAAGGAAAAAAGAGAACAATTAGATTAATTTATTTTCCTCAAATCCTCCATATTTAATTAGATCTTCATTATTTGATGTTTACTCTGAAAAGCCAAATAAAGTTTACAGAGCCTGGGAAAAGAGGATTATCAATCAAACTTGATTGTTATAAGAACTTTATTCTATTATGTAATTTTCTTTAGAAAAAAGAAAAGAACAACCTTTGGGAATACCCAGGATAGCTGAAATGAAGCGAATGAGAAATAATAAAAAAAAATCCACTTTAAAATGAGTCTTTCTTTTGTAAATAATTTAATTCTGATGTAGACAGTATTCAACAGCCTCTACATTTAAGAAAGTTTGAAAGGTATTAATAAAGAAAGTAGAAAGCACACAGAAATGTGATATGAGAGGATACATCAGCACACCTTCATGGAAGTCAGGAGATGACTTGGTTAACTGTGTGAAATAGAAAGTGTTGGCACACATTTTGGTGAGCTACAACTGTTTCTTCTGATTGTACATTTATGAGAGTTTCAATAGGAGATAACTCCACTAAGATCACTCACACATGCTAGTTTTAGAAGTAAGCTTTTGTTTGAAGTTATGAGTATATAATTTTATTGTCTTCTGACCAGATAAGTTCATTATATTGAAACCTGCTATCACATTGCCTCATGAATGTATTTTCTCCTATCTTTCTAGAAAGACACACTTTTAAGACAATTTGTTTGGTTTGTTATAGGTATAATAAAGAATGATGATGAAAATCAAAGATACTCTACAAATTGATGCATCTTTATCTATTTATTGGTCTTTGAATGTGCATATTCAAAGGCTGCAATTTTATATTAGTTCATCCCTCACCCTTATTTTTGTTTTCTCTACAGCTGTGTTCAGTGGGAGTAAAAAATAATGAGAAGTGCTACTGAGAAATGAGACTGAGAAATGCTATCTATCTCCTTTTTTTGTCACTTGACTGATACATTTCATTATAACTTCTACACTGTTTGTTTTTTCTAATTTTCTGTTTACAGTCATTGTAATAGAGAAAAATACAAACGTGAATGTTCCAGGTAACTCAAAGGATGATCTCTCCTTATGTCCACTTCTGAAAGGACCATTCCTGTGAACATGGTAGCAAGGAGAGAGTTGACCCCATACTGACCCATTCTGGCTCTCATCCCTCCAGTTCAGCTCCAGCCTGTGCCTCCAAAATGAGCAAATCCATTCAGTGGAGAACAATCATTCACTGTAGAGAATAATCCACATTTAAAGGAAGAAAGCCACCATGTATAGGGCCTGAGTGAACAATGGGACAGAGCCAAACCAAGAGATGTATTCCATCAGGTCAGGCATTCAGGGCATGACAGCCTACACAGGAATCAGAATACTTTGCTACCAGAAGCTCAGCAGGCCACTCTCATAATGGTACCTACCAGTCACAATTTACATTTCTTTCAGGAAAAAATTGCTCAGAGGATCATTTGTAGTGTTGCACCTATCAGCTTGAGTCTGGACTAGAAGTAAATTATTCTTACTGTCAAGGAGGGGGTAATTCAGAGTCACACAATTAACACTGTACAGCAGTGAACAAGGACTGTTACTGCTTGAGTGACTGTATCCCACACACCACACATACATATATATATATATATATATATATATATATAATATATGTATGTTTGTATGCATGTATGTATGTAGTGTGCAAATTATTAGCTGAATTTGTGTATATTGGCATTTGGATGCACATTTTCTTTTCAACACCATAAGCTTCTACTGCTGGAAATGAAGCACTCTGTAGAACTGGTTTTCATTTTGCTCAGGTCAATGAACCAACTCATGCACTCATATGCCTTCACAGAGTCTACATGCAGTGCAAGAGTAGAGACAGAACCCAAGGGTGGCATCTCTTTGGTGGCATCTCTTGGTAGTTCAGTCCATGCAGGACAATGAGGAGAATTCACTAATTTTAAACTGTGTGCAATACATATCTTTCCAAAGGTGCCAAAAATAACAAACCTTTCATGAGGTCTCTATTGCCTGTCAGAAATTCAGTTTCCTGATCCACCTAACCAGCTGTGGTTGTCTCTGAGACACATGATGAGGCCCTGAGTTCAGGTAGTTATTTGCTTATTGGTAAATCCTCCTTAGTCTGGCTCTGGAGTGGTTCTTCGTGCTCAGCTACCTGAGACCATGAGCAATGTGCAAAAGGCAGCAGTTCTGAGGAGGAGCTCTGGCAAGGCTTACTTAGTCCCAGCACGGGGGTTGTGACCCCACTGCAGGGTGAGGCACCACTCAGGGCTTCTGACACAAATTCACCTCAATTTGTGTTATAGGTGAACCCATCATCTAAATACCTGACTGAGGCCGAAGGTTCATTCTTATCCACACCAAAAGTCTTTATTGCTGAACATAAATTGTTTAGAGGAAAGTTTGGTCCTCTTTGTTTAAGCAAAATGCCATGTCCTTTTTCAAATCACTTTATATGAAACAGTACTAATCATATTGGGAAAAGGCTAATTATTTGACATCAGTGGAGTGCTAAGAGGATAAATTTTAAAAGAACATGTTTTTATTACCTGTAAGCATACACCAAAGCTCCCTGAAAGCAGCAGCACTACATCCTCAATTCATTGCTCAGGTGAAGGCAAACACACTGATTGCTCTTTTCTTCTGTATGTGCACTCTATGTTCTATGCTCAGGGTACAAATTATCTTAGTTAGAGAGATTGAAAACATGATAAAAAGACTTTGAGCAATTTCAGCTTAGTCCAAATTTCAAGTGTAGTTTGAATGTTAACAAAAGAGCTTGAGATTGAATATTGTCCTGCCTGCATATAAACACTCAAGCCCTATATTTTTATTTCTGAGGAAGTTCTAAAGAATATTTAAAATATATTTTACTAAGCAGAGTCCCAGTATTTTAATTCTGAACTAGGATCCTCCTTTTCCTTCCTGGTCCAAAAGTTTCTTATTCTAAGAAAGGATTTTTATTAAACATTTTCACTATCTTGGTACAAACAAAGCTTAGTATTGCCTCCTTCTCCTTTGAGTACTAATCTTTCTTACATTGATAGTAAAAGCAATAGTCACTCTGGTGTTTTAAAGCATATAATTACATCTTTCTTCTTGTTGTGTTCATTGCAACATACAGAGATTGCATATCCCAGTCCATGACTTCCTAATCAAAAAGAAGTTGTGCAATGAGGAGGAGAATTAAACAAATAGAAGGATTAAGGTCTTGATATACTAACGCCACAAGTGAAACCAAGTGATGAGATTGAGGCTTTAATGTACAGCGTGTAAAACTTATCTTGCACTGCAAGCTGGAATCTGTGCTTGCTGTGCTGTGAGGGAACAGAGGGATCTCTCTGGTGAGCAGTCATGACTGCAACACTGTTCAAGAGAGAACTTTCTCTAGAGGGGAATCTACCTGCTATTCCTGACCATGATAGCCATGATGACCTCAGATTTGACTGGACTAATCAACTAACTTTGTGAGATACACATACTGTTAAGTGAGCTGGATTCCATCTCAAGTTTAAACCAACATGTTTGCTATGTAAGGCTGCATTTGTTTTTCTCAGTCACCTTGATATCTGAGGAAAGTAGGAATTCCTTTGGGGAAAGTATGAAACCTTCATGCAAACATGCAATTCAGTATACATGCTATAAATGGAAAAGGAAAAAAATCTGTGATCTGTGGGCCGCAGGACCCACACTGAAACAGAGGAAAATGGTGAGAAGGAAGGAGTGACAAGGGACCAACCTCTGCAACCTGACTGCAGCACTCTCTGGCCCCACACTGCTGGTGGCTGCAGGGAAGGGACTGAGTGTAACTTGTGGCTGTAACAACAGGCAATAAATTAGCACTATTAATTTTCCCCAAGTTGAGTCTGCACTGCCCAATAACTGATAGTCTGTTTGCCTGTCCTTGTCTTGGATCATGAAGAATAGGAGCACTTCCCATTTTCTCTCCCATTCCCAGCTGGAGCAGATCCCCCTATAGAAACATGCATATATTTATTTTCATAGAAATGTTCTTGGATACATATGAGAACTGCTACAGAAGCAGGAAGTTCACACCACATTTTCAGACACCTTTTCTACAGATCACATGCTGGATATTGTACACTCCTCAATCCCTGTAGTGCAACACAGGTCCAGGAAGACACAGAGTTTCACATTTCAGCAGGACTCACTGTCAGGCCAGACTGTGTTGTCAGCTATATGTGTCCTTGTCAGCATGGCAGGAAATTTTTCTTTTTGTGTCTTAATAACTGTTGAGATTCTAGATTTTTTAATATGTACTTGTTTTTTCATCTTTTCTCTTGTTTTTCTTGTTTTTACACCACTGCCTATCTTTTTCATGTTGCTGTTTTACAAAAAATATTACTAATTATGCCACATTATCCTTGCTTTGCTTCCTGTGTTGTACTATGTGTAAATTCTAGCTTTACTTATAATGAAGCTGCTTTAAGCAATCAGATTTCTTAGGCTTTTAGAGAAAGTCTTGCTGTCTTTACAAGACATAAATGATATCACATTATAATCTTCACTTTTTGGTTTCATAACAGTGTCCATATTCATCAGTGTTCAATGTAAAAGATTTGTCTGTTTTTCAAGTGATACTAAGCACATGTAATCAAGTAGAAAGTGATATTAACTTGAAGAGCAGGTTATCTTTTTCTACTAATTAATGAACGAAGAAAACAACATTAAACACTTCCTGACTATTAACTATAATTGGCAACATAATTAAATTTAACCTAGCCCACGTATTTGTGTTGTGTGTTTCCAAGCATAGCTCTAGTGCTCTCTGAGGGCTCAGTGCTCTAGAAGGCAGCTCAGTTAACTTTTGATATTTTTGCCATCTCTGTGATAGAACATGGTTCCCCTCATAAACGGTAGCAATTGAAGCATAATAAGAAGAATACAAAGAATAAGAAGAATACAAAGAATAAGAAGAATATCCCCAGAGCCATCTGCAAAAGATACACCCTGTGTTTCCCATCCCTGCACCAGCTGTGCTGCCTGCTGCACACCATGTGGTTTACTGCAAACAGCCAGCAATTAATCTGCTCACTATATTCCACTGGTATCATTACACACAGCAGCATACCTATTCAATAATATAAAAAGAAGCTAGTCAAACCTATGCCTCAGTTTAGAGCCATCGGTACAAAAAATATTTTCTGAGAGACAAACTAAGATATTTAGCATTTACAAAGCAATTTATATCCAGACTTCCTTAAACAGACTTTTCACAGGAGAGTTAGAGACAGGAAAATTTACATCTTGACTGCATTTGCTGAGTGACATAGTGCCTTAGCTTGGACTCAGCCTCAAGTGTCCCAAACTTCCAGGATAGCTCCTTCCCTTCAAATCTCAAAAATAAGTCAAGAGTCACTTTGTATATTTGGCAAGATTACTAACAATCTGTAATGTAAAGAAATTATAGTTAAAAATGTTTCCATCATATTTGACACTTTCTAATTGTTTTCTGATATAGGAAATAAAGTACTGGTTCTTTTTGGTTTGGTTTTTCTTTTTTTTTTTTTTGGTCCTTGCAATAGGTAAAAATGTACAGGCAAGAAAAAAAAAAGTATTTTTATTTATATGTATATCACTTGTTTTAAACTTGACTGTTTAAAAAAGGAACCTTGACTACTTAATAAAAAGATGTATTTTACCTCTTTCCACAACTTCAGACCAATAACTTTAAAACAAGTTGTTCAGGTTTCAGAAAGACATTTCAAATAGTTGCTCCTACCTGCCTTCGAGAAGCAACAGTGCTATTGAAACTCCTGTTAGTCATCTTGGTATTCACAGGCTTGCTTTGGTGAGCCACATCATTCCTCCAGGTCCTAGAGTTTTCTTTTGGGTCTGAAGGGATGGGGTTCAGGAACAGTATCCTAGCAATCAGGCCATAGAGCACAGTCGCCAATACCATTGGCACAACATAAAATATACCAAAGTCCATCATGTAGATAGGAGAGTAATAGCTCCTGGAGACCTTGTAGCCACAGGACACAACAGTAGTCTCTTTGTAGGCTACTGTGTTAAGGTCTAGCAAGAAAAACCAGAGCATACAGTAGATGGAGGTGAAAGCCCAAACAAAAAGAATGATCTTTTTGGCTCTTGAAAAAGTGCACAGGAATTGAGCTTTGATTGGGTGGCAGATGGCTATGTACCTCTCAATGGTGAAGGCAGCGATGGAAAAAGAAGAGGCGTTGATTCCCAGGTACTGGAGATAAGTGATGCAGAGGCACCCGGCGTAGCCGTACACCCAGGATCTGTACAGGCTCTCGGTGATATTGGGCAGCCCTGCAGCCACAAGCACCATGAGATCTGCCACGGCCAGACTCACCAGGTAGCAGTTAGTGGGAGTTCTCATGTGCTTCGTTCTGAGGACCACCAAAACCACCATGACGTTGCCCACGATGCCCAGCCCGCAGATGAGGAGCACCAAGAGGATGGTAACCACTTGGTATTCGGCTGTAATGATCTCCTGGCTTGATAGTGGCAGCCCAGTCTGGTTCTGCTCGTCTCCTGTGCCATTCTCCATCTTCACCAGCCCGCTGCTGCTTCTGCCAAGCACTCGATCTCAGCACCTGCTCTCCATGGTCCCCTGCTAAAGGGTCACTGGAGCAGAGCGTGGGTGAGCTGCAGCCCCAGAAGGCGTTCTCCATGTAGTCACAGTCCCATTCCTACAGCACCTGAACTTTCAGTCTTTGAAAAGTCAGCTATGAGATGGGTTAATCCCTCCAAGGCCCAGCTCACTTGCACAGGCTAGAAGGCTGTTTCCCCACAGCTGCTTTGAGGCGTTCACGAAAGCCAGCCCGTGGAGGCGGGGGTGTCCTGCCTGCAGCGCCAGGGAAGCGCAGCCCCCGCTCCGGCAGCGCCGCTGGCCGGGAGGAGCCACCGCGCCCCCAGGGTGGGCACAGCAGCGGGACGGGAAACCAGGGCGATCCGTGAGGGTTTCTGCCTCACGCCGCTCTCCCTCTCTGCTCTCAGACAGCTGTCATGACAGCATCGATCGCATTGATCCTCGCTGGCAAACAAAGGAGAGCTGACTGGCAACAAAATTGCACCGATTTTTAAAATTCTGACTGCCGCGATGCCGTTGTGAAAAGTAATGGCTATTTACATTTGCCTCCTGCTTTGCAAGGAGTCCCTTCAGGGCTTTACAGAAACAAATGCATCCCAGCTCTTGAAAACAGCAGGAAAAAATGTAGGAGTCTTTTTTACTTAATAGAAAATTCTGTTCAAAACCTCTATTGCTACATCTGTCATCACTCCTGAGTCCTTTCAACTCTTTTGAACTGCAGCAGAGCAACAATAAAGTGATCACAACACAAATTGCTTCTTAACAAGATCAGTCACACAGGCACACGTGCATGCACACAACACAGCGTCACTAATCTACCACTCTTTCCTCAATGTACATTCTCCTCTGATTGAAAAAACTCCTCCACAGTCAGGTTGTGTAAAACCACAGACAAATCAAAGACTGGTGTAAATAACTGTTTTGAGCAGAGCAGATGAAACTCTATCAATTCAGTAGCCCAGCTGCACCTGGAGACTGCACTTTCCTGGCTCACTTGCTAAATGCCTTAGTGGGAAAAACAATAGCAAACCCTTCTGTAAGGCTCTGTGAAAGTGCCCTTGTCAGCTCCCAAACACAGTCTCTCAGCCCACCATTTCTCCTTATGCTACTGTGTTAAAAGTTTGAAGAGCAAACTTGTCTTAAAATCCCTTATTTTTCTGCATTTCGGGCAATTGGTTTTGCTCTTTGCTCAGGAAACAAAAGGTTCAACAAAATAAAATGTTGCACAACTGAGGAAAGGCATCTTAGATTTCAAAACAGACTGTAGTGTTTAGCACTGGCACATGTTTGCAAAACTAGGATTTTAAGTAGACTTAAACAACAGGTGGTGACAAAAAGAGAGTATCACCTGAATGAGAGCTGAAAATCAGACTCAAAAAATACCAGAGGTTTGAGGCCACTCAGTTAAAGTTTTCCAGTCATTTTTTTCCATTTGCCTATGTTGTGATCACATACTTTTTATCTGTAGATCCAAGAATACTTAATGAAATAAAGCAAATATAATTGTTCCTGTTTAATAGATCAAGAAACAGAGGTGAAAAGAATCAGATTGTTTTGCCAATGGTCTTGCAGTGGCCTGTGGGAAAATGCAGGTTGCTGATTACTTGACCAACAGTATATCAGCAGAAACGTATAATCTTGATTGCCCTTCATACCATCTGCAGATCCTGTTATTTTGGACACAGCTGAAAGAGGAAGGTCAGTACTGCTGTAATGCCTGGGTGTCATAAAAAAATATTCCTTCCAGCCCCTCTACACTCCACAACATTTTGTCCTTGAAAATGGACAGATTTCCCCTTCCATGCTTTTAAAGCTGTGTGACCATAGTGGGGGCAGCCCCTGACGTTCAAGCCTGCAGTATAAAATGCACCATGAGGGAGCCCAGGACTGAGAGATCACAGAGTCAGTGTCAGCACTCAGGGACCCAGCAGGGCACTGAATCAAAGATTCAAACCAGGAAACTGAGTGAGATGGCTCTGTGGATAAACTCCTCAGTCCTCAGGGACCTCAGGTGAATTAGAAGTTTTTGGCACCTCCATAGACTGATTTCTCTTCCAGGGGTTACTGATGCCTTTCTGCCACACCGTCACACAGTGAATTCTCACTGCTCCTGTTTCTGTGTATCCTGCTGGCTTATGGAGGCAACCTGTAGGTTCTGATTTGGCCTGAGAATCAGCACATCTGAGAGCATGAAAGTGTTTGCAGCACAGAAACTAATGGCTGAGGACATGGCATGCAGAGAAGCTGTGGAATATTTAAAAGGCCACAATTTTGAAGTAAATATTGGAGCTCTGGACGACGTGTAAGACATGTATTATCTGATGCTTGCCTCATTCTTCTGCATCTGCTTCTGGTCTGTGTCAGAGAGAGGATAGACAGTCTTGTCTTGGTCACTTTTTAAGAGTTTTTATCAAGTGCTGCATTCTGGTAGTGAAAAAGGTATAGAGTTGTCACCGTATGGCTATAAGGAAATAAATCTACAGTAGGCATTCAGAGTATTTTATCAAAAGCAAAATTTTAAGTATTTTTTCCAAAAGTAAGTATTTTATGAAAATACTATCTGTATTAACATGCTAAAACATTAACATACTACCAGTATTAAGATAAGAAAACATTTCCCTTCTCAAAAAATACTTCCACAACCTATAATGTTTATATAAAACCAGCAGTAATTGCAGAAGGAATTTCAAAACCAGAAATATATATTCCATGTAATTAGAGCATCTGGTGCTGTGGATTTCACTGAAACATCATTTGATTCACTTTGCCTGTTTATTTATTCAAATTATCCTTTCAACATGATTATCAGTCAGAGATCAGATACTGAATCTGGGAATCAAGTACAAGACCAATTTTTTCTCCCAGCTGATGCTGTGTTAATGCAATTCTCAAAATGAGGTGGGTAGTTTCACAAGCAGCTCAGCATGAATACATGCAGGCCTGGCAGCTGTGTCAGGGAAATTTTGACAGAAGGTGGCCCAGAGACTGCTGTGAAACTTTTACTGCATATTTGTTACTCCATTTTATGCCTGTACCTGTTGGTCCAGTATCAGTTGACATTGCATGTAGAAATGAGGACAGACACAGTTTGCAAGTCAATAACAACAAGCAGAAAAACAAGCCATGGAAATGTGCTCACTTTTGCCAATGCATGTCTTTTAGTGCAACTGTTGGGGCAGGAGGGAGAGGGGAAGGCATGCTGACACCACCTGGTCTATGTACACTTAGCCAACAGTATCCTTTTCCAAATTGTTTTCCCATTTGTCTCAATTAAAATGTGTCTCTGCTCACACAAGTCACAACTAACCCATAATAAATTGTCTGATAACATTAAGTGCACACTGAGGTGGAACAGTGAATTATTACAAACAGGTTACTCCACTCCCTATAAATTATTCTTAATTTTGTTTCTCTAACTCAGATCACTTCCCCAGTGGGCCTTTTCTGTTTTGATAAACAACTCCAAAAAATAAAAAGGCAATTTCATAATCTATTACCTCTTGTACTCAGGATTCATAAAAAATCACAGCTAAGTTGGATTCCTTACTCTGTGTCCACCTCTGATGGAGCACAGAGCACTTACTGCTGTACAAGTATTTCCAAGGCTGCATTTTTTGAGAACAGAAGCCATCATTGGTAATTGCTTTATTACCATCCAGAGGCTGGCTTTTAAAGTTTGTAACTAGCTACTGGCATGATCAGCTCTAAATGTGTTTGGGAGATTTACACTTGACATGGCTGAATACTCTACGAACTGTGGTCAGCTAGAATTCATTGTCCTACACCTGCTGTGCCACATAGCTGTGTTTTGTGCTGATGTAGAGAACCTGTAGATAAGTGTTTGGTTTGTGGGAGAAACCTGCACCTGGAAAAGCCTTTTGTAACTGAAGATTGTGAGGGAACTAAACATATCTTCTGAGAGATAAATCTCATTACCCAAGGCAGGGATCCTTCTTTCTAACTTATTTTTTGTTGCCTGCCAATGGAGAATGCTGAACTACTGCTGAAAGCCTGGGTGGGTTTTCCAGACATGCCTAAGTGGTTTAGGACTTACGATGAGGTGGAGATCATAACTGTGTCTGACAAATGCTGTTTGATTTAAAGGCTTTTAATCTTCATGAGAGTCTAAATCGTGTATCAAATGTGAGGGGTTTTGCATATTTCTTTTCTTTTAGTCTACATCTTGGACTGGTATGGGCTGAAGGCAAGTGATAAGGAATCTTAATTTACTTGTTCTGAATAAACAGCTGCCACAAAAAGCATGAAAATGGATTTAAGCAATAATCTGGCTCACATGGGAAATTTTGTTTATCTCTTGCCTGTCAACAAGGTCACTGGATATTGTGGTTTGTTGAGACAGATCTGGGATCACGTGGCAAAGGAGGCTGGAAGAACTTTAAGAGGGCTGCTCTTAATTTCTATTAGCTGGGATGGAGAGAAAGTATATAAGATCCTTATGAAGGAGCAGGAAATTTGCCAGGATAAATATAGAAAAATCATCCAAAACAAAAATTAAAAATGCATGAGGAAGACTGCTTTTATGGATTTTTTTTATCCCTTAATTATTTGCATTCCCTTCAACTTCTCCTCTTAAGGGACTATCAGCTAAGCCATAATTACCACTGAAAGGTGATCTGAAGAAAGAGGAGGTGCAGTTCAGTAGGGAAGAACACAAAGTGGTACACTTTGGCAGGAGCAAGCAAGTACCCACCTCTGTGGAAACTGCTCATCTGACCCCAAGCCATGCAACCATCAGTACAAAGGTTGATGAGAAGCTGATGTGAAATCCAATTTTCATCCAAAGTCTATCAGCAGAAGCTGGGCATTCTCCTATCTTACATGATGTCTTTCCATCCTTTAAACACAACTATAATGCTATTTGATAATGCATAATTTCAGAGAAGAAAATGTATGTGGTCAAAGTCTGCTTTGTGCATATATTTCATACACATACTTTGGGTTAAAATTGTTGGTCCTATTTTAAAAAAACACCATGGAAAATCTTCTTGATTACGGACAACATTTAGATTATAATTCCAAATTCTTAATTTAAAAAAAAAGTATTTTTAAGTTATGCTGGAATCTCATTTTTTAAA